CATAATTTTCTAATTGAGAGTAAGCCACTGATTCTATATAGACCGTCGGTGGGTTATCTGTATGGTTTATAGTACATTGATTTTATAAGTGACCTTTGGGCTCATTCTAACTCATGGAATTTAGTTTTAGTGGCTCCTCCCCAGACTGGTAAACAATATGTAAGAACTGATTGCGTAAGCATAATATAGATGCTATTTAGTGTCTTCTGAGGCATCACATATCTTAGATTTTTAAAAATCCATATAAATTTGCGCACCCATGACGTAACAATCTCAATATGCGAATGCCAAGTTAAATACTCGTCAACTATAATTCCCAAGTCTCTTGTGGACATTATATGTTTAGGGACTTGGCAATTACAATTATGGTCCATGTGATCCGGACACGTGTGTATTCTAATTTTAAAATTAAGGCCTCGTTTAGACCTTAAAATAGGAGAAAAACAAATGTAGTTCGTTTTAGTCACATTAAGGATTAGCAGATTGGCTTTGAGCCATCTATCTATAACAACTAATACTCCATCATCATCATCATTACAGCCTTTCATAAGTCCACTGCTGAAAATAGGCCTCCCCCAAGGAATGCCACAAAGCACGGTCCTGAGCCACCTGTATCCATCGACTTCCTGCATGTCTTACCAGCTCATCACTCCATCACGTGGGGGGTCGCCCTACACTTCGCCTACCGGTACGAGGCTGCCACTCAAGAAACTTTCTTCCCCATCGGTTGTCGGTTCTTCGAGCTGCCACCAGCTGGCCCACTGCCACTTCAGCTTACTAATCCGTTGGGCTATGTCGGTTACTCTGGTTCTACTGCGGATATACTAATTTCTAAGTATATCACGCAGAGAAACCCCAAGCATAGCCTTCTCCATAGCTCGCTGAGCGACCTTGAGCTTCCTCATACGAATATCAGTGTCAGCACGTCTCAGATCCGTAAGTCATCACTGGCAACACGCACTGGTTGTACAATTTCGTTTTAAGGTTTTGAGGTATGTCTGACGAGAAGATGTGTCGTAGTTTCCTGAACGCTGCCTAGCCGAGTTGAATGCGTCGATTGACCTCTCGGTCGAAGTTGGACTTACCTAGTGGGACTATTTGTACCAGGTGAACATACTCCTCAACAAATTCGAGCTTAGTGCTCCCAACAACTACCGGCATAGGTGTGACATGGACATTAAACATGATCTTTGTTTTGTCCACGTTCATCCTAAGACCTATTCGTTGGGAGACACTATTGAGGACATTGACCATGGTGCTTAGGTCCTCCAGCGATTCTGTCATAAGGACTATATCGTCGGCAAATCGAAGGTGAGTGATGTACTCGCCATTGATGTTAATCCCGTATCCTTTCCAGTCCAGAAGCTTGAAAACGTCTTCCAATACAGCGGTGAAGAGTTTCGGGGATATAACGTCACACAACTTCTCTGAAATTGGATTGGTTTGGTACTCTGGTTCTGTACTCGGATAGCCATCATAGCCCTACTGTACAAGCACTTCAGCACTTCGATATACCGACAGTCAACTTGGCATCGCTGAAGGGACTGCAGCACAGCCCAAATTTCAACGGAATCAAAGACTTTTTCATAGTCTACATACGCCAGACATAGTGGCAAATTGTATTCTTCGGACTTCTGTACAATTTGCCAAAGAGTTTGTATGTGGCCTATGGTGCTAAAGCCCTTTCAGAAACCGGCTTGTTCGGGAGGCTGGAATTCGTCAAGTCTGACGATTCGTAATGACTCTCGAAAACAGCACGTAGACGCGGCTCAGAAGGGAAATCGGTCTGTAGTTCTTCAAGAGAGCGTTGTCACCTTTCTTGAAGAACAAGACCACCGCACTTCTGCTTCACGCCTCCAGTGTAATGCCTTCATGGAGGACGGAATTGAAGAGCTTCTGAAGGACTTTAAGTACCGCTCTTCTACCCGCTTTCAGAAGCTCCGCTGTAATTCCATCCTCGCCTGGGCCTTGCCGTTTTTAAGGGGCTGGAGAGCCATTCTAATCTTGCGCCGACTGACGTCCGGGATATCTTCGGAATAGTGTCGGATAAGACTGGCTCTTGGATCGGTACTTACACTTGTGTGTGGCTCCAACGATGACATGTACAGCTCTTTTTTTATAGAATTAGGGTGACAAACGAGCACACAGTCCACCTGATGGTAAGTGTTTGCTGTGGCACATAAACATCTGCATCTATCTTCGTTTGCGAATTAAAATGTAGATGCGTTGTCAGCCTTGAGGACTAAGATAGAATGCCTCTTTTCCAGTAAAATGGGTCTCCGGTTCTCTACACTCGCCATACGAAACACAGCAACATTAAGCTGCTATTTTACGCTGGTATTCTGTGGAGCGTGGTCCTTCCCCGGTCGAGCCGACCCATTCGTACTACAACTATACTATTATAATAGCTGCAGCATGGCTCTACCACGTAATACTGCCAATAGAACCTCTCAATTTCACTCAAAATCTCAGGTGCCCCGGAAACGATGCTGCCACACTTAGTCTTCAGCTTTGACAGTTAGCTCTTTCTGGCAGACAGATCTCTGGCAAAGACTTTGGAGCCTTGGTTCCGCTCGACCGCTTCTTCAATACAAGCTGTATTGAAGCGGATTGGGGGCGACTAAATCTAGTCCAGTTTAATCCTCAGAAGACACAAGTTTGCGCGTTAACCGCTAAAAAGAACCCCTTTGTCGTATTTCCTCAGTTTCAAGGCACTCCCCTTCTTGCCTCAGCCAGTATCGGTATCCTCGGAGTCGACATATAGAGTGACGTGCAGTTTCGTGGTCACTTGAAAGACAAGGCCAAATTGGCCTCTAAAAAGCTTGGCGTGCTCAGCAGAGCGGGACAGTATTTCATGCCGGCACACCGCCTGCAACTTTACTAGGCGCAGGTTCGGCCTCACATGGAATACTGTTCCCATCTCTGGGCAGGGGCTCCCCAGTACCAGCTCCTTCTACTTTACCACATCCAGCGCAGAACGGTTCAAATCGCCAACGATCGAGCCCTTTCCGATCGGCTCGATTCATTGGCACTGCGAAGAGATGTTGCATCCCTTTGCATTTTCTTTCGCATCTAGCATGGGGAGTGCTCTAAGGAATTGTTCGGATTAATCCCAGCCGCCAAATTTCACGAACGCACATCGCGGCAGAACTCCCGATACCATCCACAACATCTGGATGATTGGCGGTCCACCACTGTGCGATTTAGAAGATGTTTTCTTCCTCGCACGACATTCTTGTGGAATCGATTACCATCAGCGATTTTTCCGGACCGATACGACTTAGGGACCTTCAAGAAAAGAGCGTACTCCTTTTTAAAAGGCCGACAACGCATCTGCAATTCCCTCCCTGGTGTTGCAGTTGTTCATGGGCGGCGGTAGTCACTTACCATCAGGTGGGCCGCATGCTCGTTTGCCCCCACTCCTATAAAAAAATTGCGCAAGACCCGCCATATGCATTTGGAGATATGTCTGTTCAGTTGCCTGTATGCTGTCAAATCTGTTGAAGAATGTAGTTTCATCTCCCGTCTAACAGCCATGAGATTGAGATTGTGATCGGTGAGTTTTTGTATTATTCTGCGGCAGGTCTTGCAGAACTTAGCTCCGACCGCATGGACAGTTTCCACGAGCTTGTCATTCATATCGTCCACTTCATTGCAGTCTTCTAGGCACTGAAAACGGTTTTGTAACTCGATCTGAAAGGTTTCAGGACTTTGGAACAGAGCACAAGTGGGACGGAGCGTTGACTTCATTAGACGAGACCTCTCCAACTTAACGTTTAGGTTCAGTGTGCCTCTAACCATTCGGTGATCGCTACCAGTTTTCACCCTCGCGATCACGGAGACATCACTGAACAGTTGTCGTCTGGTCGTCATAATGAAGTCAATCTCATTTTTTGTCGAACCATCGGGGCTCGACCAGGTCTATTTCCTGTGGGGCCCCTTCTGGAAGAAAGAGTTCATCATAAAGAGTCCCTCTTTCTCCATGAAGTCGGCCAGCTGCTGGCCCCTTGGGTTCCGTTGCCCTATTCCAAATTTCCCTACTTTCAGCTCACCGTTCTATTTTGTGCCTAGTTTTGCATTGAAGTCTCCCATTAACACCGTATATTTAGTTTTGGAGGAATGCATGGCTCTAGAGATATCCTCATACATTTCCTCCACCTCCTCATCGGGGTGTGCCGAGGTTGGTGCGTGAACCTGTATAACCTTCAGCGAATACCGTTTGGTGATTCTGAGTATAAGGTACGCAACCCTCGTCGACACACTCTCAATCTTTACAACTTTGTTAAGGAGAGACTTGTGGACGCTAAATCCGACAACTCCTTGGGACAGATGGTCGCCCTCTCGGTGATAGAGCAAGTTTTATTCGAGGATTACCGTGTTCTCCCCTCTCTTCGGAGTTCGGATAATCCTATAATATGCCAGCGTCAATTGTCTATCTCTTCTTCCAGCTCCACGATCTTCTCGTCATTCCTCAGGGTGCGTGTAATTTGCCAGGATGAGTCGTCTTAGGTGGCAACCGAACCTCCACTGGAGATTCTTAGCACCCCCTGCCCCGCCGTTACCATGGTTGCCACCTTAGCCAGGAATAGCGGAGCCGCCGGGGACTGGGGGCCGTTTCTTTGTTACTCTTATTATATCAGGGGGGTATTTGCCACAGTTTCCACGCTTGGCGAGCGGGTTGGCAACCGCAGTTTTTTTATTGTAATGTTGCTGTTATCAGGAAGATGCTGCTGCCCATCTCCTGCCTGTTTTCCTTTGTCACCTTTTACTACACCCACGGGAAGATATGGGGTAGTGGATATTCTTAACCGCCACTACACGGCTTGCTCTAATACTTGCTCAGCATTATTGCACACTTCTTCCCACGAGTCCCCAATGTAAACGATGGCCGTGTCATCCGCGTAGGAGAAGGTTTTCCCACTACTGATTCGTAGGTTGCATAGTTCAATAATATACACTAGAAACAGTGATGGGCCGAGAACCGAGCCCTTTGGGACACCTTAAACAATATTTTCCTCCTCACTAAGCAAGTTATCTATTTTAAATTGCTGTCTCCTATCTCGGAGGTAGCTGTCAAAGAGGGAGAGGGCTTTACTTCTTATCCCTATTGCTTCAAGTCTCTGCACAAGGATTGGGACAGATACAGTGTCAAAAGCCTTTTTCAGGCCTAGAAACACCGTAACGCATTTATAACCATTGTCTACCTTATTAACGATTTTAGATGTTAACGCAATGATCGCATCCTGAATTGACCGTCCTTATCTAAAACCGTATTGTAAATGTGGAATAATGTTGTATTTATTTGAATAGCTTTCAAAAATAATAGAGAAAATATTAGACAAAAGGCTAGTATTTTGTCTAATATTTTCTCTATTATTTTTGAAAGCAATATTAAGACAGATATCGGCCGATAATTGTTAACATCAGTCTTGTCCTTATCTTTGTGCACGAGCGTAATTATAGAACGTTTTAGCGCATCAGGAAATACGGCGGTTTCGAAGAACATATTAATCAACTGGCTAATAGGTACGACTAGTTCTCGAGATAATTTAAGGAAACCCACAGGTATGCAATCCCACTCCGAAGCACTTTCTGAGTCAAGTGATCCAAGTATGCTATCCAATTCTGCAGGATCTGTATCCAGTAGGACGAACGAGTTAATTTGAGATAGTGAATTTAATTAAGTGACAGATCTAGATGCTTGTCCAGTTAGGGTTATGATTTCATCCGCAAGTTTTTTTCCAATAGTTGCGAAGAATTGGTTTACACGGTTTAGAGAGTCAAGAGGATGTGGTGTGATATGCAGTAAATTTATACTAGTCGCCTTGGGTTTTTTATAATGGTTAATGTCATTAATTTTACGCTGGAGTAGTTTAGGATTTTTTAAAGAATTTAAAATCTGATTTTTATGATACTGTCGTTTTAGTTTTTTAATAAGGTTAGAAGAACAATATGTGCGAAAACGCCTGTAAGTTATAATCAATATAACGTTAAAAGGATCTTTTCTCTTTTGTAGCTGCAATTTATTTCTAAACCTAATACATCTTAGGGCGCCCATAGTTATCCAGGCCTTTAAATTTCGATTGGAGCTGGACACTGAGACAACTTTAGTGTTTTGGAGGAGGGATGTACTAATGAAGTCTATCATCGTGTCTACTAGAATGTTTGGGTCTTTATGTGCACTAAGAATATATATCTACAAGGTGCTTATACGTATTCTCCCAGTTTGTTATGGTTTTTATATTTGGCACAAGTCTTGTTTTGGTGTTTGTGGGATATATTTAATAATACCATTGCATGATCCGTAACAGACGTGTTTAGGACAGACACAAAAACCGAGTTATTTAATTTGTCTAGCTTAAGGAGCATGTGATCAAAGCAATTCTCTTCCCTAGTAGGCAAGCAGTGTCCTGGGAGGAAACCATGTATAGCCATCATATTTAAATAGGTTTATCTGTTAGTTCTCATTTGTGCTGATTCTGACGGCTTTCCTATTAAGTTAATATTTATGTCTCCAGTTATAATGGTGTTTCTACGTGTGTGAATACTTTGAAGGTACTGATCAAATGAGTTAATAAAAGTTTCAGAGGATAAATTCGACGGAGACCGACAGATACCAAAAATGGTAAAATTTGGAATATTTATTTCCAAGGCGGATGCATGTGTTAAATTGATTTCAGTTACCTGGGGTAAGTGGCAGGTTTTTATATAGGCTACTACGCCATCATTTTGGTTTAGTTGCCTAAGTGTATTAAACGAAGTATAGTTGTTTAACCTGGCAGAGGTTTATTAGTGTTTAATCTGCATTCTGTTAGGATTAGCACGTCTACCTCAACTCCGATTTGAGACAGAGTTATCTGAAAATCGTCGAAGTTACTGTAAATACTCCTTATGTTTTGTGTCAAGACAGTCACGTTATTAAAATCTCGTTGTAGGTATGTATGTAAATGTGCAATATCAAGAATAGCAGAATTAGCTATCTCAACGGTATCTAATTCCTGTAAATTACATAAGTTACTATCCATTATTAATTAGAGTGACAAACGGTGATTCATGCAGTTTGAACGATTATTTTTCAGTAATCTCACGACTATTTCTGTATTTAATTATATGCGTGTAAATTGGTATATCAAAACATACTATATTAGGCACTGTGAAGAATAAGTGCGGGTGTGGGTATATTGAGTGAGTTTGTTGTTTTTGTTTTATGATACAGAGTGTTCGAAACAAAGTATTTGTGTATGTAACAGCGAGCTGAGCATGCTTAACATGATAATTAAAATAGTTTAAAATATATCTGTATTGATTAAATTAAACATAACATTATTTATACTAATAGAAAGAGGCAACGTTAACTAACGTAACAACGTTACTAAGAATATTTTAATGATTGTGACAGGATATACTAGTCATGCTTCTTGCATCAGCTGTTGTACCTGGGCCTCACTTTTGATGGCAATGACTCGAGAATTTTCATCTTTTTTTACTAAAATACGACCAAATGTTGTCCAACAAAATTCATATTTTTTAGTTTTCGCCAAATCTCGGGCTAAGGAAAATAGTCGGGTGCCCTTAGGAGTTAATTGCTCAGATACAAACACAGGTACATCGGCGTTTTTTGTTATCCCAGATGTTTTGCTTGAAGTTTACTTGTGTTTTTTATATTAAATGACTTTGCCTTCTTTAGTAGGTTAGTCTTTAACATAGTGGAGTTCAATTCCACAATTATGGGAGTATTCGTTATACCTTCTTTCCTACTGGGCAGTCGATAAATGTCTTTTAAGTCACGTGAGTCCATCTCAAGACTTAGATGTGTAAATAATTTCATGATCATATTTATTAAATCAGAGTTATTTTCCTGAGGCATTTTAGGGACGTTCTTTATTTCAATGCAAGTTTTCTTATGGCTTCTTTGTAAGTCTTCGATTTTATCCTCTAACAAGACAATGTATTCACGGTCCTTTTTACCTTGTAACTCAAGAAGTTCGATTTTCTTACGGAATTTCTCATTTTGGCAAGATAAGTTAGTAACGGCAGTCTCAATGTTATTATTTGTTATCTGAATATCCTTGAGATTTGAGGTAATTACTTTTAGTTCACTTTGTTGAGTTGAGATAAAGAAAGCTAACATTTCTTTGATTTCATTCCTGAATTTAGTGAATTCCTGTGGTAGATCTTCTTTCCTTGCTCTCTTGTTACGCATAGAAATAAGATTAGTGGCAGTCTTGTCTATATTTACACTAACATTTGAATCAGAGAGATATTTGTCCATTTTACCCGTTTAAAGTACTTACTAGGTTGTGATGAGTACAAGGAGGTAATTAATAGTCGGGCTGGGTTGAATGGACTATATTATACCTACGTATAAACCCAGCTGGTAGTAGGCGCGAGCGCAGGTCAAGCTACCTATGACAGTTGAGTGAGGCGGTACTTGTACTTAAAGTAGCGCTTAGCCTTGAGTGACACTTAGCCCTGAGTGGGTTGCGTTCTTAAGCGGTCTCAAATTAGTGGGCGTGACCCAAATTGGTCCTACTTATTGCGCTTACGTTGATCAGTTGTTACAGTCTTGTGTACCATGGCAACAGATCTATTGAGTAGTATCTTTAACGGTACTCACGTGCGGCGGACTGCAGCGAACACCTACTGTGCTGTCTTATTATTTCACTGAATTTAAATTTATTTTAAGTTTGTGATTTTATTCTTTTTAATAGATTGTTAAGCATTTAGTGCACAACTACACCTTGTGGCGGTCCGGAGGGAAGAGGAATTTTGCAGATGAAGTTTGCAGGTGTTACATATTTCCGATTTATTTGCTATAGTTGTAATATGAGTCAATATTATATGGCGAAGCCCAAGTTCAGCAGTTGATTTTGATGGGCAGCACGCGGATCTTGTTGCCTTAAACCCTTCCAGAAATAGGAAGAGATCGTTGTCTAGCTGATGGACGTAAATAAGTTTTTTAATATTTTTTAATTGGGATCCGTCAGGTTTGTCTGGTTCCATATAGCGACTCTTACGACACCCACGATAGGAAACGATTCCTTATACTGCCAGTGCCACCACGCGTAATAAAATACCCTCTCTATAATTTACGTTCAATTTAACAAGTTCAACCCAACTTTAAACATTAACATGTTATTAGTTGTTTATTGAAGCAGTTCCAAGTTTGGATGACGGTTGTCATTGTAGAACTTAATACAAATTGGGGACATACCGGCAGTTATGTCCCTGTTAAAATTATTGGGGGAGTGGTTGGTTAATACCTTTTCATAATACAAATTACAATACCTTCTCTATTGTGAATAGGGTATGTAGAGATGTGCCTTTTAACATGAGGTTATCAATGCCCTTGTTGTGTTTTGGTGGTGTAAACCCATTCTACCATTTTTTAGTAGTAGCGATGTTAAATAATCGACTACTCTTTATCGTGTGGGTGCCCTATGTAACTTAACTAAGAAATTAGCTTGGGTTAATCATGAGAACAAATTCCCCATTCCATGGGTGTCCACGTCAATGTATCGGTTTTAAAGAGTTCGGCAAAAGGGTTTTAAAGAAGTCGGTATGAATCTAATGCCCAAATCCTCAAATGCTGCTCAAATTTAAGATGCCGTTAAGTCTGGTGCTGTCTTTATCACTTTAAGTGAAAGTGACTGTGATACCACGAGATTATCGACATTTTTAAATTGAGTTGGGTTTGTGTATTTGGTCATAAGATTTGGGAAAACCAGAAAAAAGTTACGACTTCAGATTAATGATAGTGTTTAGGCAGGAAAAATTTACAATAAAAACGTAGTCTTTAACGCGCGCGCTTGGCCTCGATATCAAGGGCACCTTCCCTCTCCCCCGCTCCCCCCCCCCCCGGCCGCCGGACGCGTCGGCGTGGCACTTCTCGCGAATATAGTAGGATTTTCTTGCGAGCTATACGGACGTATGTTTTCGCGCCTAACTTTGCTAAAGGAACAATCCGCGTAAATCGTTGCAATAACGGTATCGTTATTAGAACGTACTAACTCGGTTACATTCGCGTGCAACTATCACAGTGATTTACCTCTGAAGGACTACGAGTAGCTGTCCCATTTCGTGACAACCCATTACGAGTGCCTCCAGAAGGGGAAAGTTCCGGGGATACCAGCGCGTGCCTTCTCCCGGACGTCGTTGCGTCATCCAGATCGGTTCCCGTCAACATACCAGCACATACAATTACACATACACTCACAACACTGTCATCAGCCGGGCCGGTCGAGGAGAATCGTCTGCGCTCCTGGGGCAGGTAAGTGCATTTATCCTAGTGACCTTTCCCCTCGTGTGTTCATTAGAAACATTTGACCCTCGGCGTAGGAACGCCCGACCAGCATCTGCACGTAGCTCCTTCGTCTATGGGCCGCGAAGGATCCAACTCCTGTTGAGGCAGGGCAGCTGTTGGCCGTATCATTTGGTAGCAGAGCGTGGTTCTGGGATCGATTCCCGGTCGATCCACCGACCATAGTATTTGATAAAAATTAAATAATTTGGTGGCAGGAGCGTTGGGTTGATTTTGTGGCTACAATCACGCCCGTCCGTAATACGTAAAATACCTTTTTATTATATACGTAATAATAAAATTCCTTTCTTTGTTAGCTTGCTTTGTTGTTAGCGGGTAACTTTGAAAGGCCACGCCCGGTTCGCGCGCAAGCGGGAGATTGCGTCATGTAGGTAGATGGTTATTTTTACGTAATCGGTTAATTGTCGTTGTCGGATGGTAGTGTGTTACTTATCGAAGGGTTGATTTCCGAGCAAGGCATTTTTGTTGATGTGTATCTTCGTTATGTATCTTTCGTATTGTAAATTGTATTTGAACTAAAGAGTGGTAATTTGTATTTACGTAATTTAAATTAACTTGATTTGATCGTACTAGTATTTGTTATTGTTAATTTGATTTACCTTTTCCTTTGTACTAACTTGTGTTTGATTTAATAATAGCGGTTCTTATTTGTGTACATTCTATTCAACTCGATTTGATAGGAACTGCATTAGTTAGCTGTTAATTTTTTTGTATTTTTTATTTGTTATTGTTGTAATTGTGCTCGAGCCGCGTCGTAATTTGGATTTAGTAGTGATGTCCTCGCCCAAGATGCTAATCCGTTGCCTGCGGACTGAGCTGCGCTGGGCTACCAGCGCACACGCGTTGATAGGCCGACCGGACAGGGTCTACAATCTGAGGAAGAGGCTTGAGCAGGTCGATGCTCGAAGGGCGGCCGTGGAGGAGGCTTACTCTGAGCTCGAGGACTTGGAGGTGGAAAAGGGAGTCCTGGAATCTTGCCGCGCGGACTACGAGCAGTTCCTCGCGCTAACGGACGACCTGATCGAGGCAGGGGCCAAGGATGCGGAGAGGGAGCGCGAAGCTCGGCTGAGTAGCCTTCTCGAGTCCCCGCGGAAGCCGTCTGCTCAGCCAGAGCTGCTAGGACGACTTCCGACGCTGGACCTGCCAAGGTTCTCCGGGGTCCTCTCAGAGTGGATGACCTTCGTCGGCCTGTTTGACAGCCTGGTGGACGCCCGGAGGGACCTGACCCCCTGCCAAAAAATGGGGTACCTCCTGGCTTCACTAGAGGGGGAGGCCCTGAGCGTCGTCGGCCACCTTAAGTTGTCGGACGACGCCTACCAAAACGCCAGGGACCTCCTCGCTGGAAGGTACGCCAACGTCCGGCGGATTGCGGACGATCATGTTCGGAGGCTGCTGAACCTCCCGCTGCTGAAGGACCGGACTAGACTACGTGAAGACATAGTGAATCCAGTCGTCGTAGCGTGCAACTCGTTGCGGCGGCTGGATTTACCTGTGGACGAGTGGTCTTTTCTGCTCCTTCATATAGTGCTGTCCCGCCTGCCCCTCGACCTTCGGCTCCATTTTGAGGAGAGGTTCGGAGGGGATGGCGCCTCTTATATGCCCCCCTTTAGGGACCTGCTGCGGTTCCTGGAAGAGCAGTGCAGGCTGCTGGAGAACGCAGCAGGCGCCGTCGAGGGCCCCCCGGCCGCCTCCCGAGCGGTGCCCAGGGAAAGGCGGAGTCAGCCGGCCAAGGCGGCGCCCACCCCCCTGAGGCCGAGTGGAGCCCCCGCGGGAGGGCGCCCCCCGTACCCTCCTATAGTGGCCTAGCGGCCCGGGAGGCGCCTCCCTGCTCCTATTGTCGAGCATCCGACCACCGGCCGGCATCGTGCCCGAAGTTGTTGCGCAAGCCGGCTAAGGCGAGGCGAACCATCGCCAGGGAGCGCCGCTGGTGCTTCTCGTGCCTGGAGAGGCATTTACAACGAGACTGCCCGCACCAGCGGCCCTGCACGCACTGCCAGGGCAACCACAACGTCCTCTTGTGCCTGGGTGCGCGCGGCTCGTCCTCGCAGGGCCCTGCCAGCCCCCCGACTCCCACGGGCGGGGGCGCCCAGCCACGCCCACTGTCGGGCGACGCTCGGCGCTCACCGGCGGACCACAGCGCCCCTCCTTCTGAGGGGAGTCCCTCCCCCGATCGGTCTGGGAGTCGTTCCCCCAGGGGCGGGGGGGTCTTCACCCCCCCTCCTCGAGTTGATAGTGGATTCGCGGCCACTCAGCGGTCAGCTAGACCTTTCTCACCCCCGTTGGCTGAGTGGCCGCGACTGGAACGCCGCCCGCCCCCCTTTGGCCGGTGCCGGTACTACCGGGTTCCGGAGACTGCGTATCGGCCCCGGGCCTTGGAGCCGAGGATCCCCGAGTTTCCCCCGGTCGGCCCGTTCGGGGAATTCCAGTCTGGGGTCATCGAGACGCCGTCGGAGTGCCGCGCTCGGGTCCCCCGGGGCGGGTGCCGGCCTAACAGAGGCAGCTCCAGATAGGAGGCTGCCGCCCTAGCTCCCGCCATGGCCGCCTCCACTGAGCCTATAAGTCGTCAGCAGTCCACCTGTCAAACTGTTCTATTGCCGACAGCCTCAGTGAAGGTTTACAACCCGAGCGGCGACCACTTAACGGTTCGAGCTCTATTGGACTCGGGTTCCCAGCGTAGTGTGGCCTCTACTCGGTTGGTGGGAAGACTGGGGCTCCCCTGGAGCTCTGAATCACGTCCGATGGTAGGTATCGGAGGTGCCGAGCCTCCTGCTCCTAGGGGACAAGCGGAGTTGGTGTTCAGCCCTGACAGCGAACACCTTCGTATTTTAGTCAAGGTAAATGTCCTCGACGACATTGTAGGGTTCCTCCCTAACGTTCGTATAAATGACAGCGCTGTGCGCTGCGCGTCGGCTTTGAGACCGGCAGACCCTCGGTGGGCCCAACCTGGGCCG